CGTGTGTGTGTGTGTGTGTGTATGTGGTTGTGTATGTAAGGGAGAGAGAGAGAGAGAGAAAGAGGAAGAGATAGAGAGAGAGGACAAGATGATGAAGATAATCACGTGTGATCAGGTTCAAACTGAGATGGCGGCGTGATCACGTGTGGTCACTAAAAACTAGAAGATGGCGGCGTAATCACAAGTGATCACGTTCAAACTGTAAGATGGTGACGTGATCACTTGTCGTCACTATGATGGCGGACACTGACCTGAGAGGGGCCTAATGGTGTGGTCTATTGTCTACCCAATGAAGCAGGATTAAGTTAAACTCCAGCCACCACGTGAACCTTTTTACTTTTAGTGCTACAGCACATAGTTTATCTGTAAGGACCGAGTCGAGAACACACGAGATCTGGTCAAAGGTTAGGTACGACTTTACTCCATTCACTCTCATCGTATCTGCAGCTAATTTAACAATAGCAACGTCATCTCACAGCAGTCTGCTGTAGTTTGTGAACATCTCCACACAGATTAACGCAGATTAAAGTTGTTTGTTGCAAACTACATTAATTTAGAGGGGAAAAAATATTTGATATAAATACAAACTTAATATTAAAATGTACCCTAAAATAAGAGTAAAAAATTAATCTGGAATTATAACTGTTTGTTATGTGCATATTAAATGGGTTTGTAGGCTGTCTGTAATGGCTACGGCTCCCTGTGAGGACTGGTAGATCTCGGCAGACTGAACGCTAACAGTTGGAGTTAAAAGAGGCGGTGATGATGCAACAGAGTAGTAACAATACATGTTTATCTCTGAATTTGTAGTTTTCCGCTCTTCTGGCGGTTGAGGAGGCTTCCTATTGTTGCATGCTATGGGGGAAGTTTGTGGTCTACATTGTCATTAATGTGTTTTAAAAATTCATAATCAAGGTGAGTATTACAAACATGTTAATTTAGTTCCAAAGATGAAAAATAGAAGAGAACATGTGTGATCGAGAAGAGTCCTCAAAGCTTTTACTCCACAGGTCACACCAACACATTCACACAGTTAAGGCAGAGGCTGCTATGAAAAGTGACCATCAGAAGTAACTCATCCCATTCATACACATTCAGACTCCACCGACGAAGCAGCGGGACACATCATACATGTGCTGGGTATCGAACCCCCGACCTTCCGGTTGAGAGACAACTAACTATACCAACTGAGCCACAGTCACCACTGTCTGTCTGTGGAGTTCAAATAGTAATCATCTATTTTACTAATGGGAGGAAGTATTGTACTTTATTTAAAAGTAAAAACATTGTTAAATGGTCTAATCAGCTGGTTGGTGAGTCACGGCTCTACCAAGCGTCCCTGTAATCCAGACCGTTAGAGCAGATAGCTACCTACAGTATGTCTTAAACATTGACTCCCACCCTTTGCACCGTGATTTTCAGCATCTTCCCTCTGGACGGAGGTTTTTCAGTCCCAAGGGGCAGAACAAAGCCGAACAAAAATAACTATCTTTCTGCTGCTATCACTGAACTGAAAAAGCTGTAGCCATATTTGCAAATATCCTGGCTTAATTTTGTGATTAATTTTATTGTTTTTTTCATTCATTGGTGGAACCTTGAGCACTTTTCTACAATTCTACAATTCACATAGCAGACACTTTTATCCAAAGCGACTTTTATCATTGTTATAATTTATTCATTTTTTAAAATAATGTTTCCGTAGGTTATAAATAGATTGATCCTTCTCGAATGTGTTTTATCTTCTTACATCTGTTTTGTCATTTCTCTCATAGCTCGCTAGGTGTACAAATACAGTAACCTGCACCTGAACAATGTGTTATTTCTTTAAATCTCATAAAACAGGCGGGTGGAGACTAATAGGTGAGTATTACAAACATGTTAATTTAGTTCCAAAGATGAAAAATAGAAGAGAACAGAAGAATACATGTAATTGAGAAGAGTTGTGGCACTGTTATGAGCCATGATAGAAATGACTGTAAAATGATTGTAACACGCATGTTCACTACTGTGACTTCCTCGTGTAATTTACTGAAGAAGGCTGTTTGAAAAAGCAGCACACACTTTGAAGGAAACGTCCCTCCTCTGAACATCTTCACCTCTCTGCTCCAGAGGACCTGACAAGAATGTAAGTTTACATGATTTTGATTTGAAAAATATGAAAATCAGCACTTGATACATAATTCTAAAAATGTGTACTTTTTCTCAACTTGGATTTAGATCAATAAACTAATACCATAGGTTAAGGAAAAACAGACACTGTAAAAGGAGAAGCATTTTCTCTTTGATCTTGGACGTAATAAAGCTGTCGTTGTGTTTTTGTATATTGCTGGTGATTAAAGGAGCTGCCTATAAACAGATTATAGCGTTCATTTTAACTATAGACTGAAAATACATTAATGAAAAGTAGCATTATGTGTCACTTTTGCCTTCACAGACCACAAAGCTTCCTGTTTTTTTCTAATCATTTTATCATCTACAACATGATGCTGCAATAAGCAACTTCAGAAGAATTAAATAACTCAAATATACTTAGTATGAAACTGATGTGTACCCATGTGTACTCTCCAGACTTTCTGCCTATTCTGAAACACAAAGATGGCTGTAGCTCTCACTCTCCTTCTTGTTGGCTGTCTGCTCCCAGGTGAGATATTCACTCACATTAAGCCCACCACTGTAAAAAACAAAAAGTAATTTGAAATAATACCTCAAAAACTTAGCGTTACACATAGCTAGTCCAAAAATTCACAAATGATTAACACATGTTCTTATTTAAATGTTCTTTCATGTGTTTCAGGTGCCCTGTGTGGACAGTTTGAGAGCATTATACCACAGACGATAGAGGTTCTGAAGGGATCCTGTGTGACAATCCCCTGCTCCTTTGATGTACAGGATCAATTTAATGTAAACTTAAACAACACTTGTAAAGCATTATGGAGAGAAAGTACTTTTGGACCTGATGTGTTTGATAGCAGTAATCCACAACAGAAAGGACAATTGATCGGTGACCTAACAAAAAAAGACTGCACCACAACCCTGAATGACATGCAACCTCAAAACAACAAAGTGCATAATTTTAGATTGGAATGTGCAATGATCTGAAATACTTTTTTGATGGCGTGAAAATTTCAGTCAAGGTAGGTTTCAAATTAAACTTTAACAGTTCATTCATGTAGTTTCTCTGACCTTATTTAATTACTTTAAAATAAAGATAAATCAAACCTTTGATAGTAGAGAGAAATGACTGCTTATACATGTTTATGTATCTTCTGAACAGATGATCCACCCAGACCGACTCTGACTCCGCCCACACTGAAGGTGAAAGAGGGAACCTCAGTGAGTTTGAACTGCTCTGCTCCAGCTCCCTGTCTGTCTCTTCCTCCAAATCTGACATGGAGCCCCGGCCTGGGTGAAGGTCAGGAGACCCTGCAGGAGAATCAGGACAAAACTAAAGTCAAGATCTCTGTGCTGAACTTCAACGCATCACACCTCCATCACGGACAGGAAATCTCCTGTACTGCTGTCTACAGAAAACAAGATGGCAGCACTGAGTCATCTGTGAACACCAGTTTAACAGCTGACATTACATGTATGTTTGTCTTGTGATTAAGGAATTCAAACTTAAACTTTTAAATGCTCTCTCATCTCCTTAAAATCTTGACTAAATTAAATTAGGTGTGAAACAATAAGTCCTTGAAAGTAAATCTTTACCCAATTCTTTAGATTTTCTAATCAGTGTTGACATGACATCAATTTAATAAATCAAACACCTCAGTGTGAGATGCTTCTGTATTTTCTTGCTCACAAAGCTTCAACAGCAAGCCTTTAACTTGCTCTGCTTCATTTCTCTGAAGTGTTTCCTCATCCAAAATATCCTTTGCAGGCACAATTCTTGTTAATTGCATAAACTTCAAGCTGCTTTGAAATCAAGCTAAAGCAGAGACTGAGAAGAAAAGACAAAAGGGAACATCTACATCTGCATGCCATATATCTAATTCTGATTAAGATGCATTTTAGGATTAACATAATTCCCTTTAATGTACAGAAAACATGAAACTAATGGCAACCTTTCTTGTAAGTGCAAACATGCTGAAAAGCAAAGGCTTCAAATGTTGCTGAAGCAGAGTCAGTAATTTTCTTCATGATTTTTCTTCCAAATCAGCAAGAAAGTGACAGTTTACAATTCAATTATCAAAAGAACAAGTCTGTTTATTTTTTTCCTCCCAGATTCACAAAAAAACCCACAGTGTCGGTCAGTCTGTCCGGTCCAATACGACAAGACAACATTGTGACTCTGACCTGTAGTAGCAGTACCAACCCAGCTGTAAAGGACTACACCTGGTACAGAGCTGATGGAGGCCAGGAGACTTTCATGGGGACTGGACGTGTTTTAACTGTTAAAGCTTCAGATGTCAGCGGTCCTTTTTTCTGCAAGGCTGAAAATGAACTGGGGAGTGGACGATCTGACAACAAAGACTTATATGTTCAGCGTATGTATACAAGTTAAACTGTGTTTTTAAACCTTTAAAGGTCTATAATTCCTCCAGAGCAGTGATTTACTGATTATAAATGTTGTTAATGTTTCAGTTTTCAAGATTGATTTCCATCTTTGGCACTTTCTGAATTAGTATATAAAACATTACTAATTTGTCTTTTTCATCCAAATGTCCATGTGTGCCAATTTGGGCCAATCAATCATTCAGTTTCCCTTTCATAATCAACTCCTTCATGTGCCAGTGGGTTTAGTGTGTTTAAATTGTGCTTTTGAACATAACCACCATGAAACAATCAGAAATGAATATTGAATTTCTTCTGGCTCAGCGTTGTTCCTGCTGAAACCTCATCCTCTTCTTTTAGTCTTTTGGTTGCTCAGCCTACACTCGTCTCTCTTGCTCGCTTTGCGGTCTTGATTTGGAAATATGATACAACTTTGGTACTTCCTTCACTGTCAAACTGACAATGAAGTAGACTTTAGTGGTAAAAACCATCAAGTTGAAAAAGTGTCCCCCCCCTCCCCAAGTTTTTTAATCAGTGAAGAACTATCAGAATTTATGTACAGATAAATACACTTAACTTAAAATTAATGACACAATAGTCAATTTAATTTTCCTCAACTTTAGTTTAAATTAACAATGAAATAATTTTGAAATAAAATCTAATGAGCAAATAATAAGCACATGTTATTAGATACACACTGTAATCAGCCTTTAGACTGACTAAAATTAATTTTGCCTCTCATGAAGATCAGTGCCATCCAGTTAAATACTTCAATTATATTAAAGCAAAAATATGGGGTCAGTGAGAACAAAAGGAGATGGGGTTGTAATACATTGTCCTGTCTTACATTATTTATTTACATGCCAGTTATTTGTTCTGATTACATAAACACAACAACTAAACAGGGTTATGATATTATCATGTTATTTCTTATGACAGGTCTTGAGGATAACTGTGGACCCTACGGTGGATTTCTTTCTGGCTGTTACTGGAGTGTCTCTCACTGTGAACATCGTCTCACACTCTGCATGGTGTTTCTTTGGTATGTTATTACACCGGAAGACTTTTTAGAATAAACTGTGCTGATGAAGATATGACAAATGAGTTGTTTGTAAAACCCTTTTTTAATCCTCATTTCTTCTTTTACTAAAGGAAACAAAGAGAGAGCATGAAGCAAAAGAAGAGGACAGCACTTACATGAATTGGATCACACTAACAGATCTCCAGACTATGATGTCATTGCCAAACGTCATACTGATTATTTGAAGACTCTCTCTCTGTCTCCCTCTCTCGCTCTGCTCTTCCTGCATTGCTTTAAATATCGACTTTGCGATATGAATGTGATATTTAATATTCTGCAGGGTGTTTGGACAATACATGATTAATTCTAGTAATTTCACATAATATTTTCTCCATGAAGCCTCTGATGTTCAAATCTGGAGAGATATTGATCATGAATTTGGATAAGTTTGAGGTGATGGTTTTCACTTTTGTTTGTATTGAAGCTCTGCTAATCAAGATTTTTATTTTTATTGAAAAAGTAAATGGTTATCAAAAGAGATGCACATTGAATCAATCCAAGATATGGAAACATGGTACAGTTGTATCCTCTGGGGCGCTGTTTTTATCTTTTAGTGATTTATACCATGCATTGCATTTAAGTTGCAAGTTTTTATACTATGCTTTGTATTTCATGTATCTTGTATTGTATTTTATGTCTTTTGGATTTTATTATTTGGACCCTGAGTCTGTAATAAAGTTTTGATTCATTCATTGCATGCTCTTGTTTTCCAATCAGATTAAAGAAAGCCTGTGAGGCCAGTTCCAGAGGACAGGGTTTAAATGGCCCTGAATCAAAGACGAGGTTAAGGAGGAGTTTTAAAGTCCAATATGTAAGACATCTTCTGAATTAATCTTGAAATGGTCTTACTTTATCATCAGACATTAAGAAACATGATCTGTTTAAGTGCTGGTTTATCTGTAAATGTAGCAGTCGTATGTCCTCCTTCTAGTTTTCCATTGTGGCGCAGAATCATTGTATTTTGAGCAGAGAAGGTAGGCGGTTGCTTCTGAAAAAAGGAGAGAGGTTAGAGAGCAGAAAAAGTCTCTAGACCGATGCAGAGCTGGTTAAAAACTGAAGCTTCAGTGTCCACGACATAGCAACCTGTTTGCACATTGGCTCTAGGAGGGAGGGCGGGGAAGAAAGCTCTGTCCAATGTTTTGAAGTTGAAGAAAAGTTGACGAGCTGATATCCTAAAACGTTCACACAAAGACAAACAGTTAAAAACATTTTACAGAGTGGTAACAGATACATGTTTATCTCTGAATTTATATTTCCGCTCTTCTGGCGGTTGAGAAAGGCGTCCTAATACTGCTGGGGAAGTTCGTGGTCTCAGTTTCCATCAACGTGTTTTAACCAGCTTGATTTTATCATTGAAAGATAGTCCTTGTTCAGTCACGTTTACAAATCAACAAGCTCAGGTTTTTACTTCTACTCAATTTAATCTGAGAAAACCCAGACAGGAGGACATTGTTGATGAATGCTATTAGAGGTGTTCCTGTTCCTCGAGGAAACAAAATAACGCCTTCTCCTAATCCTGCCATGAATTATTTAGTTGAGTTTATCAGTATCACCGTGGGACTGTGTCTCAATATCTTACAACTTACATTCAACATTACCCCAACAAACAGGACAACATCCAGTATTCGGGTTGCATCATATAAAATGACAGCACTAACAGGACATTCATTTTTTTCACACATTACGGACAGCCTCTGGACACAGAAATGATAAGATAAAGTGAATGCAGTGACATCAGGTGTAACAGCCAGTGTTGGGTAGTGATATTGATATTAGGTAGGAAAAAAAAGCTGAGACTGATATTTCAATCAGGAGAGACTTAATTGAGAATGAACAATTATTTATTTAACAATAAATGTGCGACAATTTAGATTTGAATGTGCAAAGTCTTTGGAGGATTAGACTCCATCGTGACGACTTCATGTACTCGGAAGGGTAATGGCCGACAGCAGGATAGGATACCCCCTATGGAGTCTAGACACTGGTGGTGGTGAAGAGGAATGGAGGCTATAATGAGCCTGAATCTGGACTCTGCTGAGCTGGAATGGAGGTGACTGGGGCGGTGGTGGGTTGCAGCAGTTGCCTTGAAATGACAGAATGACTGTTGAAGAAAGAACTATTTTAGCATTTTGTCGCAGCAGATGATTGGTTGAGAGAGGTTGTGCCCGACTCTGGTTGGTTAATACTTAAAGAATAAACACCCATTAACAGCTGATCACCAGAGCAGGTAGACAGAGGAAGTAGTTTAAGTTGAAGTGAAAGAATGAATGAATTTGTGAAAGAATATAAGCAGTCTTCCTTCCCTTACGCTGAGCTCCATATCGGCCAATGTCTCTCTTATATCTAATAATAATAATAATAATAATAATAATAATACATTTTATTCATAAGCGCTTTTCAAAAACTCTTACACACTAAACATT